TTCATAACCCGGCCGGGTCAAAATTTGAAAACTTGTAAAAAACTTTTTTATATGTTTTAATAACCGGGTGGGTTTTTAAAAAAAATTTTACAAAATTTTTATATATAAAATTTTTTTTAAAAAAAAAAGGCCAGCCGGCCGGGTCTGTTTAAACGGTTCTATGTTATGAAAACCAAAAATTTTTTTGTATAGCCTTATATATTTTATTTCTAAATATTTTTATTTAGAAATTTAAAATGTCCAAGATGTCCAAACTTTGTCCAAAGGTTGTCGTGACATCCCTAAGAAACAGTGCCAACGATCTATCAGGAATGGTATTTTTGCATAGTAAATTACTCAAGGAAACTTTTTGTTAGAACACGGAAGGTAATTGCTTATACAAATATTTTGATTACGCTACACCAAATCGTGTTTTGCTATTGGAAATTTTCTGTCAATCATCATGGCGATACCGGTGTTATGTCGTTACTGAAGTTGACACCCGACGAAGTTGCAACTTCAGTTGACTGAAGTTTGACTTGACTGAAATTAGATCATCTCGCATTAATTAGCAATTTTAGTTAAGTGTAATTTTAGTCAATTAAAGTTGCAACTTCAGTCGGGTGTCAGCTTCAATCACGACATGGGTATATATGGGGAATGGACTAAGAAAACCGTCCTTCGGCATTTTTTGGCCGATTTTAAGATTTCAAAATTCAAATTAAAGTATTGGCTCTTATTTATATGCAGTACAAATTTTTATTATACATTGTCCTAATGAAATATTGAGATTTTTAGATTTGAAAAACAATTTTGCAAAGACATAGCGCTCTAAAAATAGAATAAAAACTAGAATTGAAATTTTAGTTTAACACAAACTTTAATCACATTTTTTTCAAAACTCAAAGTCCCTCTCAAAGACTGGTATTCCTAGTCCTTTCCGTATGGATTAGGGCTGTTATCGGCTTGGATGGCTTGGCTTGGCTCCTAAAAACCATAGCACCAGCTTGAGCTATGACTAGGGTTGTAAACTTATAATAATTTCATGTAACTTACAAGCAATTTTCATATGTTCATTTAATCAAAAATTCCAAAATCATATAAGTTATTGTGTAAGTTATAGGTTTACAACCCTGGCTACGCATGACCATTGGAACTATGGCTCGAGCCGTGGTTTGAGTCTAGAGATTGGAACCGACCAAAAACACGTTAACCGGTTAATAATCAGTTAAAAAGTTCATTTACCGGTTAATCAAATGGTTAATATAAAGGTCTGCCTTAAAACATATATTACCTAACCTCTGCAGAAATCCTTTGGAAGTCTTATATATGAGAGCTTTTTTCTGAATAAAGTTGTCGATTAGCGCAGTAGTGTATGTTTTAGCTACCCCAGTAGGTCCATGAAAGATCGTCGCAGATGCACCAATAAGATCTTTTCTAACAACCGACTCTCTATGAAACCACCTACTGCGCACTAACAAAAAAAAATTCTTCGTAAAATTTTAATATAACATAAGCCATAATTTCAGTCACAACCCCAACCCTAACATAGGTTTACTTTAAAAATTCGATTGTTTAATTAGTGCAGATCATCTGATTGGTGCATATTGTCGATCTTTCATGGTCTCACTTAGTGTTCCTAGTTGGTAAAATTTGGCTAATCAACTAGTTGCCAACTAAAGTTGCCAACTAATCGATTATTTATATCACATGATATTTTCAGATATTAGCTAATCAAATTTAAGAAATCATTACGAATTATCCTGAATAAGCGGAATATCTCAGAATTAATAATTAGTTGTTTAGTTGTTTAAAAATTTTTCAAATCAACTAGTTGGAAAGTTGGCAACTAGTTGGTTTTTCAACTAACGATTTTTGGAACACTAGTCTCACTGTATGTTTTCATTCATGATCTATTTATAGCTTTTTTAGCCGATAATTAATGATCGGCTAACCAGTTAATAATTAACCGTTATTTGAGCCATAATAATAACCTGAGCTATAGCTCAAACTGTGGCTCTAGTAGCCGTGGCTCAAGCCGTAATTTTTAGCTACTCGCTAATAGCAATAAATATTTACCGGTTCTCTCAACAATCGTCATAAATGAATGTTAACATAACAATTAAAAGAGCCACGGCTTTGGTCAAACCATAGTAATAGCTGCTTAGTCCATTATGTAGCTAATGCCGGACTCCATAAATATGAATTAAGCTGTTTCACGTAAAAATATGTGACTTTACACGTGTAGGGAGATACATTGTATGACTATGTTTTACTACATTTTCCCCGCGTATAAAATCTGGCCTCTAAAATTGTAACATAATAATGTGCAAAAAATTCCACTATAAATAGAACGCCTATTCAAGAATGTAATTTAATAAAATGTTCAATATTTTGATCAAGAAGTCCCGAAGTCTCATAACGATACAGACTGACCCATATCAGACATGTCTTCCTGATTCCTTAATTACACAATTGGAACAAACAACATGCAGCATTTCCTACATTTGAACCTCGTCCGAAATAGGCTTGGTGTCAGTCTCAAGATGTTCGAATAAAGTCGACTCAAGTAACAGTTCAGCAAGCTTTTTAAAGTCTTACACATATAACTAATCTGTTGTCAATGATTTTGAACTTAAAACGAATCTTGCTATTTATATCATTCGTTTAAACCAAATCAAAGAATGATTTAAACTACGGAAGAAATCATTTTCCGGATCTTTATTGCGACCAACTGTGCCGTAAATAATAATTAAAAGAAGCTCTGAATAAAAGTAATCATGATTTTGGAGTTGAAAATTTGACATAGGTTATTATGTTTTATTATTATGTTTTATTAATAAAATTGGACCCGAATATAATGTTACGGAAGAAATTTAAAGACGAGCGAATCTTTAATTTACAAAATGGAACTTAGGCAATACGTCAGAAACGTGACGTGATGATTTAGTAAAATTTATTTTATTTACTTTAAAACGTTTAGAAACACTGTTTTATTTTATTAAATGGGTTTTTGACCCGAAGGTTCATACTTTACAACGGCGGGACTACAGCATTTTTATCTTTTTGCTATTCTAAGAGATGCAAGAGGCATTGAAGTTTTTTCGACCACAGCACAAACACTAGTTTATTTAAAGACGGGGATTTATATTATTTTATAGTGAAGGATGCATTAAATGAAAGTTTCATTCTATTATTTTTACGAGAAGCTACAGACATTCTTTCTTCTTTTCTTCAGCCTAATCTTCCCTCTATGCGTAACATTCTTCAGACGTTGGGGTTTCGCGTTTGTTTATTTAGGCCGTCTGTCACGATTCGGCCGACCAGCCACACACTATCTGACCAGGGTGGCTCTTCGATCACGAGGATTTGCATCAGTGATATTCGAATTAGGAAAAGCTACGGACCAACATTTCATGTGCTTATGTGCACAAAGCATTAATTAGAGTTAACATTAAAGTTAGCTTATATGCATAACAATGACTGGTTTTTACCTTGGAAATTTCGTGACAGTAAACAACCTCTTATATTTTTTTTTGCAATATTTTGGTCGATAATATAATTTAAAAAAAGGCGAGCTGTAGTTCTATTTTGGAATTTTAATTAAAACCGAGAAATTGACTTTAGCCATGTTGACATATATCAACTAAAATTAGCTTTAAATGAACAGAATGCAACCAATTGCCATTTTTTAGATTTGTAAAATATGCAATTTTACAAATAATTTTTATGCGATTTATATAGAATATAAATTTGCCAAGCATATGACTGTACAGAATCTTAATTTGTTCATTAGGGAAAAATATAATTCTTATATCGATATGTCGTACTCCGGAAAAATTCTTTAAAATTCATATTTATAGGATAAAATCTTTTCTTTAATGGCAAATATGGAATGTGACGTCAAAAAACATGCTTAAAGTTCGATCTTAAACCACGTTTAAAAATTATAAACATGCATAACCGAAATTGTGATTCTAAAAAAGTTTCACAAAAGAAATTTCTTCGATATCAAAAGAATATAGATAACAATTACTTAAATCCTTTATTCAAATTACTAAAGAATGATTATTTGCCTCAATAAAAATTATTGTTTGAAGTTTTGGGGCTGAATAATGGAACGCATAATTACAAATTATTTGTGTTCCTACATAATTTAAATTTAAACCGATGTGTAGAAGGGAATAACCTTCTTTTATCCAAAAAGGAAGATTAGAATGTGGATTTGATCAGGGGATCATCGAATATTCTTTTATGTGGTAGTACAATCTCCTAATGGAAATAGCCAATCAGAGAGTGTAAATTCTGGTGAGCATACTTCATGAGTATTTTAACCTTGAGGCGTTAATTAAAAACGATAGGAACAAGTTTTACTATAAGAGATAATTTATTTTATATCTCCTAAAGTTTTAACCCAAATTTTTCTATTTTTACGTACTTTATTTTATATTAAATTTCCTTTTTTTTTTTTCGAATGTTAATGGTGTGAGACCATAAATTCCCTTTTTTTAGATATTTGCTCGAACAATACTTCAATATGTATGCGTGTTACACGAATCACACGTGGCAATTTCGGCCGATAACGAAATTTGCTATTATGTCAAAAATTCTCTTTCTTGACATTAAAGAACAAATGATTTTATGAAGTCGTAATATGACGTGTATCATTTCACAGCAGTAGCATCTGCGCATTTAATTTATGTTTCTAATACTCGCTTCTTTAATGAATATGGAATAGCGTGCATTATTTGCAAATGCAAACGTGCAAGAATTGCATCAATTTAATTATTCCATTTCGACAATTATGATAAGATTAGATTTTTAATTGTCTATTCGGTTTATAAGGAAAATAAACAACCCTGACGCAGTCCCAAACTATAACAATATTAATACCCGAATATAGGAAATTATAATTCGATAAAATATAAATACTCGAGAAGATTCACTTCCTTTCATTTGGAGATTTGTTATCTTCATATAAATTTTATCGAAGACATTCATTTATCATGAATAATTCCCAAATGAATATGAAATATCAGATTTATAGATTCCATTCATCTGCTGGACTTTCTAAATTTCATAGCGATAATGCATCTGCTTTGCCAGCCTTGCCACAAATCACTCTGCCTTTCCCTCCGGCGATTCGTGCAATTGATATTGCAAAAAAAAGAATTCGCTCCAAGATCTGCAAAAAAAGCCCAAATGCTTTTTTTGTTTATCGTAAAGCTTTCGTGGACCATCTTTCAACTTTACAACATAAACTGAAAATGACTGAAGTATCTAGGTTGGTCAGTTCTCACTGGAAAAATGAAAAGCCTGAAGTTAAGCTAGCATATGAAAACATCGCCAAGGAAGTCGAAAAAGAATTAAATGATATTAGGATCAAAGACTTGGTTTATGCTGATATTCACGAAAAATGTAGAAGAAAAAGAAGAAAAAATATTGAAAAGCGTGCTCGTAGATCAGCGGCTTCTCTTGATTCCTTTGATGCATGTAAAAATTTTGTGTCAACTATTGATTTTTCTATTAAGGATCCACCTGTTGAGTCAAATAATGCTCTATCCTTCTGTCCATTCACTGATAAAGCGCTTCCGGATTCTTACTCAGCATTAAATAATACTAATGCATTCGATGACATTACTCAGTTTTACGATGATAATGTTTTTAATTACATTTTTACCGAGCCTAATAATCCTATTTGTGAAAGCAATGTCGAATCAATTTTCGTTTATGACACTAGTATGAATGCTAATATTTCCGCTACATCACAAATTGATTCGTTCACATTTCTTGTACCTGAGCATCATCCAGACATCGCTTCACCATATGATTCTGCATCTGCAAGTCCAACAATCTCTGAATATTCCGATTTTTTTCCGCAATTAACCGAAGATTTTCAACCGTGCGAATTTTATCTTGAGAATGCGTCGCAAGCCATTATTTGTTTAGACAATAGTATAATTGGGGGAATTCCTGATTGTCTCTCATAATTGCGAATCGAAAATTTACTTTCATTAGACATTCGTTTCTCGTATATTAAATATTCGTTATCGTAGATTAAACATTCGTTTCTCGTATATACGATTATGTTTAAAAGCCGAACGTCAATTTTAAACCCAAATCATGTTAATATTTTTTTTAAGGTTAATAATTATGAAAAAACTTCCAAGTTTATGCTATTATATAGCTCTCGTAGGTTGTTCAATACAGTAGCGGTGGGAATAAGACAAGACAATTCAAGTTTATGCTATTAAGTAGTAAAATATATGTACATAAATATGCGTGGTACGATACTTTCAAACTAAGAAAATCAAAAATATGTATATTTTAAAGTTTTTACTAGAAACAATTTCTAAGTTTCAAAATAAAAATATAGACGCAAACATTTTTATTAAGATGCACCTACGTTGTTTACACTTACATGTATATATACATTACCTCAAATATTGGTTAATTATGGTGCTCTAAGTAAAGATGTTCTATATCCTCAAAAACGCTTTCAAAACTTTAAATATAACGATATGTAAATCTCTATGAACGAGTCATGCAAATGAATCGACTCGAGATCTAAAGCTATATAAGAGCCTCAATTTATCATTCCATCTTAATTGTGATACTTGTACAAGATTTTTCCGTAATGAACCTGTTGATGTGTAATCCAAAACAATAATATAATCACCAGAATTATCTTTTGATACACCTTTATATTGCAAGAACGAAGGATTTTTGTAACCAATTTCACAGTAATTTTTTAATTCTTGAATAAATTCTTGCTCATTTTCGTTTGAATCATGAATCACTTTAAGTGCAACATTATGCCATGCATTATAATTCTATCTCCCAATATCATAATATATAGTTGCAAATCCTCCTTTTCTCTTTTCCTTGATATTTCTGAATTCATTATAATTAATTCAAGATATTAAACCTCTCATTATCTAATATTCTCTTAAGTTTAGGATTAATATAATTTGGAATTCATTAGTTTTTAAATAACTTTTATATTTTACAAACCAATAATTTGTACTCTGAATATCTTTCTTTGTACTAATAATATTTTGACAAAACTAGCACTATTATTTACTGCTTTACTATTCATATTGGTAGCTTTTTTATATTCAAATGCTTTATTAAAATCTTAATCAACCTTTTTTCATTTTCATAATGAAAACCAACACCACATATTCTATAAGTATTATCTAAATCAGTGAATTTTTTACAATATTCAAATGATTTTTGATATTATATACTTCTAATTTTTTTTTTTTACTTTAATAATCCTACTTTTATTTTATTAATCAGAAATAGATTACAAATATGTTCTTAGTTGGCTAAGACCTATATACAAAAATTTTTTTTTTAAATATTAAAGTGACTACTTGGGGGTTTGGCACAATTTATTAACTTCTTAGTTCAATTATCAGAATACTAAATAGGCATTTCTTGACTTTGTTACTTCAACAAGAATACAATTGGTCATATATACAACTTTAGTCATTGCCTATTTAAGAGCTCTGCTATATCTATTTCTATCTATAGTTACCCACCAATTGCTATATCTAAGATCTGTTTGTAGATCTCCTATTTAAACCCTTTAATTAACTTAGTGCTATCAGATGCTTTCTTTGGAAGAATTCCTGCTACTAAGGTCTCTTAGGACTACTTTATCTTCGTGGTAAACCTACTAGAGCGGTTCATATCTCACACATGTATTATCTGAGTTTTTCAGTAACATAACTTACATCCCAATCTGAAAACTGGAATTTGCAATCTTCTGCATCGCTACTGTTATCTACTCTCTGCCCTTTACAAGGTTCATTCAGATTCTGATATCCACTTTCAACCAGCTCTTATACCGATCTCTTCCCAACTACCAAACTAGTTAGCCCAGAAGGGTTGTTATACCTAGACTCTAAGTGCCTTCTGGTTTTACTTTCCTTGGTTCCGAATTCTGTAGCATTGAACCTTTTTTTCCAGTGCAACTCTGGTGGCCAGGTTGGTAAACCTATTTTGCTCCAAGATTTTTCATCTAGTTCTTCAGTTTCTGGTTTCTAATTTTCCATAGTATCATCAAAGATCTTCACTGCCCTAGCTCGGGTCTTGCCAAACAGGTTTCATATATTCTGGTTCCTTGAATTTAGATTGCTCTAAAGCTTCTATTTTGAGACAGTAATACTAAAGTTATAGATGATATACCTAACCAATTGTCAAATAAATATTACCAATACACAGATCTATTTTTCAAAAAATGTCTCTGGTGGGAATCGAACTCTAGATCTGCTACTTGGAGATAACAATTTAACCACTACTCTATATTGCTATACCCTGCTAAATGAATTTACTTACGAACAGATTAGTTAAACAAAAAAAAAAGGCTTATATAGCA